AACATCTTAGTGTAGAATATCTTAATTTTGGTAGGTGTGTTTACGTCGCCGAGACTTCAATTTGCAATGCCATTCATTCCTGTCCAAATCTCCAACATCTCAACCTTAGTTTTTGTGGAATTACTGATGTAACTATCAAAGAAATTTCTCGTTCGTGTCTTTATTTAAAATATCTTAATCTGGAGGGGTATGCTAATATTACTAAAGAAGCTATAGATCAGCTCGTTTTACTTAATCCAAATATCTATGTTGAGGATTTCATGAATTCTATGAATATGTGAGTTGAATTAGATCAAGAGATAGGACGGATATATAACATTCGGCATAGTGTTGGTAATAATTTGAATTCAGTTCTATCTCAGTTATACCAGCATCTTAGTTTCATGACGGTTGACTCTGATGACGATCATCACATTATAGCTATAAACAGACATTCACTGACTCGAGATAATATTTCCACCTTAATGTTGAAAGCTGGTGATAGAATACTAGCCAATCAATCAGAATGGTACTCTACCAATCTAACTAACTTGGATCAGTGATCAGCATGGAAGATTTTTTGTTGGATTATACCCTGTGCGACAAAAAATATAGATTAGCTAACCTGTTCTAGACATGGGCATTGGTCTGTACCAGCCAAATTTTTTACAAAAATTTCGTGCAATTGTTGAGGAGTGACCTTCAGGAATAACGGTAGTCCCTCTCTAGTAAAATAAAACATTTTCACTCCCTTATCGATAAATCTCTGTATTAACACACTTGGGATATCTTCTAAAGGACCGTGATATTCCTCAAACTTTTGGAAATATACTCTTGCATTTTTATCAGCCTCTTCTGCCATTTCTTGGTTAGTGTAGCCAACAATATTGAGTTTTTCCTGAATTGCTATTATATCCTCTTCCAAATACATAAGCAAATTAAATATCTCCTCCAATGAAATATCTGTAGAAGCTTCATCGCTTTGATATTCCACCTCTAGAATAAGATTATCATCAATGTTGAGATTCTCCTGTATCGCTATTAAATTCCCTACCAATTCTAACAACAGCTCATATGAATCAGCAAGTGTTTTCCCCATGAGCTCAGAATCTGGAGGCACTGCCAACTGATTTGCATTCCCACCAATACCGAGTTTTTCCTGAATAGCTATTATATCCTTCTTCTTATATAAAAACAGTCCATATAATAGAGCAAGTGTTTCAGGATTATTTGCCATAATTGCTATAATAAAGTAATATATTTAATGTGGAAAATTTCGAGTCCGGAATACTGATCATCAACTGAAGCAACGATCATTAGCTCAGAAGAATTTGCTGAGCCATGCACATCACCTTTGGCCAGATTGTGCAACAAAAAATAAGTGGATCATCGCTCAGAAAAATAAAACATTTTCACTCCCCTTTAGACTGTGTCTTCGGCAGAAAATAGTCTAGATGTGTTAATACTCAGGTAAGAAACCATCAGAAGTTTACCTGTAAGTGCTTTGCTGAAGATATGCTCTTGCATTTTTATTGGCTTCTTCTAATCCATTTATTTCCTGATCATAATGATTGACAATACCAAGATAGTCTTGAATCATACTTATATCCTCTTCCAAATATAAAAGCAAATGATATAATGTCCTAAGTAACCTTTTTCCATATGTTTCTCCCTCAAGATCATGCATATTATTATATAATATAGTAAGAACAGTGTGGCAATCCACATCGAAATCTCCCCATATTTCTATTAATTCCCCCACCAAATCAAATAACAGCCCAAACAAATCTTCAAGTGTTTTTCCTTTTTGCTTTGATTCAATGCTGTTTGGTTTCTACTCTCAATAGGTCCCTTTCCCCAGACTGGATCTATAACGAGTTTTTTCTAAGTAGCTATTATATCTTTCTTCTTATACAAAAGCACTTCATATAATTGAGCTTCATTTTTATCAGAACTAATATTAGTATTGCTTGTCATGATTGCGGTTAGCAAATATTCAATTTTGTGTCTGAAATACTGATCATCAACCGGAGCGGTGATCACCAGCTCGGAAGATTTTTTGCTAGGCCACAGATTGTGTGACAAAAAATAGGTGGATCATTAGCCAGGTCTTGTGCAACATATTAATTTTTGCATATAACGAAAGGAAAATATATATGTTGACCAAGTCCCTCTATTTTTTTCCCAAACAAATGTGAGAAAATGTGAAAGGAGGTCTAGTTTCAACATAGGACCTACCGTAAAAGTAAATACTAACGGTAAAAGCATATGCTATGAAGGGCTGAGGACTTTGTAATTTTGAGATCTACAAGAACTAATTACCTTTGCGTCTCTCCAGTAGATCTACATGTGAAAAGGTATGAGAATTTTATTTGCATGTGCTTTCAAGGGACTTTTAGCATCAGACGATAATACTAATTACGCCTCATACCTCCTTAACCTTTCCTAGCAAGATATAAAGCATGTAGAAGTATATGGAAATTCAGCTAACTTTTCGTAAAATTTTTAAGGTGCGTATATGTCAGAAGTTATGTATGTATGGGAACGAGCGCTAAGCTGAAAGAAATTTCTCACTATGGGACATTGTATTTAGGAAAACAAGATGTTTTCTTGGGTCAAAACGATAAAACTATGGGAAACTGAAAGACTTATCAGCTTTTTGAGGAGTGATTTAAAATTAGAAGGCTTAGAACTTGACGATAACTTTTTTACAAAGCTTCGTGATGAAAATATCACCGGTGATTTATTTCTCAAGCTAACAGGATGGAATTTTAAGGAATATGGAATAACGTTAAAACAAGCATTAGAACTTGAAGACTACATTAAGGAACTGTGTGAGTAATTAAATGTTTCTTATAGCTGTATTTTATTGATGAGGTCCTCGTCATCCTAATAGTCTTATTTTATAATCAAGATAATCGAACAGGAGCATTAGGAGTTCACTATATGAAAGGGTCTGGTTCGAAATCAAGTAATCTCCTAATCAGTTAGAAATTTTTATCTATATTATGTAAAGCGATATAGTCGTGCAAAGTGCCTTAACGGCAATTTTTATGTATTGTAGGCCAGATTTTAGCAATGTTTTTTTTATTTCTTAAATAAAGCATACATTATGTTCTCCCAAATCTTGTATTTATTTGCGTGTATTAATAAAAAATTTTCTTGGTAATTTCAGCGAAGCCTGTCGCCCAAAAAACACATTTTTTTATTTTAAATGCTTATATACAGTGTATTAGTTTTATATATTATAGATCATGTTATCCGAGCTTGAATTATTGAAACAGTGTATCACTAAACTTGAGGCTGAGAATGCAGAGCTCAGGAAGGAGAATACTGAAATCTCCAATCTTAGAATCAAGCTCTCAGTGTCTGATGCTGAAATTCCTAAACTTAGAAAAAAATTTTCACAGTATAAATGATATATGGGTAAAGGAGGTAGATCTTGAATGGTCTAAAGAAAGACTCTTTTCGATTTTTGTACTATGTCATTGGTTCAAGGCGAAAATACAGTCAAGGAATTTTATTTGAAGCTGAAAGAGTGTAACAAGAGTTTAGACTATAATGAAAATTTCTTTAAATACGCATTATTAAAGGATTATTACCTGAGAATACATTTAAAGTTCTTATGGATGGTTTACAAGCACTTGCGTTAGATGAGATACTGGAAAGACTTATCCTAAAGCAATGATCGCATGATTTTCTTGAAGGTATTTTCATTTAAAGATACAACATATAAACAGAATATTTAGCCAGAAACGTTTTGCATGACGCAATTAAGCATCTTTTATTTACCAGAACTACTAGAACAGATTTTACATTTTTTAGTGATAGATAGCTTTTTATTTTTTGAGCTAAATTTATGAGAAAAAGTATTTATGAGAAAAAAAATACTTGACGTTTTCCAACTGTCAAGGCTATTTCTGATTCCTGTGATCCAAATACTTCATACCTTAGCTTGTTTTGAAGCTCTCGATATTCTGCATTTGGTCGAACTGGGTTGGCGTTTCTATGACTTCTGGATCAGGTTTCGTAAATGATTGAAGTTACAATTCTTATATAGTGTTAATAATACATTTTGGGGATCACTGAGTAGCTATGAATTCTTGCATAATAACCTATAAATTTCTTACCTCCTTTAGGTTTCCAGAATCAAAAACTAGTATTTTGTAGGTTGCCGGATCATTATCACTTCTCATGTCACTTTGGTAATGTGGTCTCTCCAAGATTCATTCGTGATATGTCTAAAATAATTGACCTTACGATTTTCTGAATAACTATGCATACAGTGATCAGAATTTTACGAAATTTGATTTGGTAAATGTCCAGAACCTGCAAAATCCAGACGTTCAATCCTTATCAAAATTGGATCATTGGTTGATGAGCTATTCACGTTCAAAATTCATTACAGCAAATCGGCCTTTTATGATAATTCCCCCTCCTTTGGTTTTGAACTATAGTGAGAAAAAGGGGAGAGTGTTAATATTTTTTGACTTTATTGATTGATTAGAGGCCTGCATGTTAATACAGCTTAATTTTAGAATCGGGATCAGCAAATTAATAGATAGGATTACCATATTTATTCCGGGAAGAGAAGTTATAGTGTCAACATAAATAATGTGCAATAATATTATAGTAATCATTACATGTATCACGGGAACAAGCAACTGCGCAAAATAATTTATTCTCAAATTTTCTCGCACATTCTCAAAAATATGTATAGCCCCTTGATGATCTTTACATATAAATAGCGTTAAAGCCGTTGATCATATTTTCATGATGCGATCATATTAATATAATTTTTTCCCAAGCATACTCCAAGATCGATCCTGCAAATTATATAAAAAGGTGATGTCCTGTTAGTGAATCCTTTTATCTGCCTCATTATTATCTAAAAAAATTCCTATTCAATTCATCAATAAACACATTTTTCAATAAAATATACTGCGCATCCCTTTATCTAAGCATATCCAGTTTAATATCATTCAACTCTTCAGAAACCATGTCATTTTTAGAATTATCCATCATTTTTTATTCATTAGTCTAGCGATATTTGTAGAAATCGTCACCATGTATGGAAATCTAAACAAAAGATCTCCCATGAACTTTCCGCACATGTCATCAAAATTCTTATCGATCTTGGTATACTAAATAATATACTGGAAATCAGAAAGAGATCACTTCATGACCAGATCTTTACCGAACTTAATGATAAATTTGACACATGTATTTCTGATATTAATTCTAGTTTTACTGCGAAGCTCGGCAGAATCAATAATGATCTTAATAATAAACTTAATGAAGAAGTTAATGCAGGATTCAGCAAAATTAATACTGAACTTAATAGTAAACTTACCGCAGAAGTCGAAAAAAACAAGACACGTGATGATGACTTCACTAAGGAGGCGCAGAAAATTTTGAATATCATAACTATGAAAGTTAATATTATCAAAGAAGCCTGCCGTAATGAATTTGATAGAATTAATGTTGTTATTAAAAATCTCCAAAACGAAATAAATCAATCTTACGCAGTAGTTCAAAGATCAAATTTTGATCAACAAAGTGTGTCCAATGAATCTGAAGCTAATTCGACCAATGAATCTGAAACCAATTCATCTTCAAGCTCTTCTTCTTCTGGAAGTTCCAATTTATCTGGAATTTTAGATATTACTTCAGACATTAAAATTCGCTCTAAATAACACTTTGATCGACTTATGAAGGCGAGGAATTATACTTTTGATGAGATGTGCTTCTCGATAGTAGTTAATATTCATAGTCTTGGAGAAAATATTAAGATTTCAACAGTGAATAATTTTTATAATGGTGTTAGTGGTAGTAAAGTTAGCACAATTAATCAGATAAACGCATGGGTAGCTAGTTTTAATAATAATGCGAAGTAGTGGGAAAGAAACTGCTATTATATGGATTGGAGCTCGGCAGGCATGCTTTATTCCTCCCTTGAAACAACCTGCTACTCTGTTATTAGTTTCATTTTTTTACTTAGCTAACCGACCCCTTTTCTCACGTATTACTTTACAAAAAATATAATAAAGATTTTACTTTGAGTTTTTTAAACGTGTTTTGTATTTTTACAAGTGATATATTTATTTGCTTTCATATTCTACATGATTTATGCTATGAAAATATAAAATTTACTAAACTATTAGCTATTTTATACTAACGAAAAAATCTTATTCCTGTTGCTCGTCTGACCCTTTACCATAATTAATGGTAACATTGATCACATTCGCATTTTGCGAAAAAGAAGAGGTACTTGGAATTACGGGTCTGGAGTTAATAGGTGTTTCAACGGATAGTATCACTGGTCTTAATGTTACAAGAGAATCTTGAGAACTTGTAATGGTTTTAGATGTTTTCTTGGGTGGTTTATTCAGTGATTCGTTTGGTGGTCGCTCAAGTCTCTCCATTGATCATTTTGCTGTTACTTCAGGTTTAAAGATCGTAAACACTCCCGCATCTGATGATGACGAACTCACCCTGCTTAACCTCCTATTTCCTTCATTGTGAGCTTGTTCTAGAAATAGATTCGCATTGTTAATAATATAGCTGAAGCATTTATTTTCTCCTGAAATATATACCTTG